AAAACGTCAGTGGCATTTTTGATCCCGAGCATAAAGATGAGTGGTATTTTACATAGACTACTCTTTAATTTTTAAATATTCTAATATCATCTCTAAATTATAACTATAATTTTAAATTAGTTTTTAAATTTTTGAAAATTTTAATTTTATCCCAAAATTATGACATTCATTCTAAATTGGTCCCTAAAATACTAAATTATACATATATACTAATCACGTCTCTTATTAATAAAATCATTAGGTCAAGTTATATTATTATATGTTTGAAAAAAAAAATTTAGGTTAAACTATGGTTGAAATTAATTACATATTTGGATGAATTTGTAGATGAAATTGAAATATTTGAAAGCTTGGGAACTAATTTAGAAAGAGGGTCATATTTTAAGGATGTAAATAGAATGTTAAAAAATGTAAGAACTAATTTAGAATGAGAGTCATGGTTTATGGATGAAATTGGAACATTAAACGTTTAAGTGCCAATTTAAAACAAAGATTATAATTTAGGGACATATGATGCAATTAACTCTTAATTTAAGTATAAGATATTAGACTATAAATAATTAAATGATATGACAATTTGATGTTATATAGAATTTAATAAAATTAACTTTTTTATTTTATCTCATTATTTTTATTATTAAAAGTAGAATTTTCACTTTACTTTTAATCGTCATTCTTTTTGCAGACATTTTAAATTGTCGACTCGATTTATCATATTCCATCACTTTGTTAATTTAAATTTGGTATAATGATAAAATGTCTTTAATATTTGACAAAATAATTATTTTGACCAATTTTTTTATCTTTTTTTTAGTATTTTGACCCTAATATTTCATTTTGAGGAAAAGATCTATTCATGGGTAAAAAAATTTAGTCAACAAATAATCAACACTCCAAATAGGGACATGTTGTCTTCAAATGAAACGTTGAATCCAAAATACTCTAAAAAAGAAACACTCAGTCAAGCTTTATGAGCTCTTTTACTCTAAAATAAAACATTTGGTATCAAAATACTTCAAAATATAAGGTGGATAGAAATGACTATTTAATCAAATATTAAGGGTATTTTTTTTTGCACTATGCCTTTAAATGTTTCCAAAATCTCTTTAAAACTCAACAAACTAAACATAAAAACCCTACATTTTAGGAATTTGAAGTGTTTTTCGAAATTATAAACAATGACAAGTATTCTTTCGAGAAGAATAACAACATATCTAGAAATTAGCTTCAACGAACTATTGTAGGAAGAAATTGATGTATTAGAACATTCTTTAGATGAGTTCTTGCCAAATTTGATTGGTTTCGTAGAAATTAATCCAACGAGAAGAAATATGAGTAAAATGTGAAAGTTGCGATATCGATCTTATCTCAAATGACGATAAGTGGCATGAATCGATTGACTGGCAACAACCATCAAAGAAGTTGACGATTATTTGTGGGGACTAAAATGATACATACACTAAAGTTTTAGTACCTAAGAAATAAAGTGTTTTAAAGTTTAATGACAAATCTACACATAAATTAAATTATTGCATTTAACTTGTTTAAATTCTAATCAAAGAAAAAAAAAACTTGATTGAATTGTGGGTTTTATTTATTTGGTTAAAATACTATCGTTTGAGTTAATCTATAATTCTAAAAGAAATTGGTTTGTGCAGGGATAAAAATAAAAGTTCTGGTAGTCCAAAGTTAAACTATTATATTATAACATCGTAAATTGAATTATTAATTATTGAAAGATATAATGTTTCATTAATTAAAGGATTAATAGGAATTAAATTTAACTAATTATAATTTTCATCAACTAAAGTATTATATGGATCTGATTTTCATTAATTAAAGATATAATTTTTGATAAATTTGTAAGAATACATTATTTTGATATTATAATTAATATATTTCATAAATATAAAAGTAATTAATAATGTTTATAAAGATAATATATATTTAAATATTCAACAGTTTATATTATAATTGAATAGAATACACTGCAGAAAATTTAGAATTTAATTAGATTCATCATAATCGTTGCAGTTACAACTCATGAATATATACTCTTTGATACGTTCAAGTAATTATTTGTGGACCGATGTACAACGTATTAACGATTTTGTTGTGTGTGAATGCATCAAGCCCAATCCTTAATCTTTTACCCGATCTTGCTATGGATCAATTTCATTCCGTGAGGCCTGCTTCTCATAATTTTGCAGCTACTCGTGCTATCACTTCCTTTCCCAATTCCCTTGACCATTATGTCCTATCTCTCGAATTGGAAAAGCCAAGTATTCATTGGATCTTGAATACCCATTTCTTCAACAACACACAATTAACACAGTGTCTCGTATTGACGATATTCCATCAATGCCGGAGAACATATTCGTTCACAATCTAATGAAGTCAAGATTGTTAAAGATGAACAAGATGAATTATTTTTAGGGGTGTAAATCAACTGAGCTTGAACGAATAAGGTTATGTTTGTGTTCGTTTGTTTATTTGTTAAGGTGTTCATGTTCGGTTCTTGTTCGTTTATTTATTCTTCGCGAACGTGTTTATTTAGCGTTCATTTAGTGTTCGTTTATATATTTAATTTTTAGTTTTACTCTTTCATTTGCAAGCTAATGAAAAATGATAAGATTACATTAATTGTGCTTAAACTCTTTAAATTATAAACACTCTACATGCAATAGCAAATTCATTGAGAGCGGGGGTGGGCACGAAAATTTGAATTTTCTTCGCTTAATTATCTATTTTACTGATGACGCACACCTTAAAATTTTATTTGTACTCAGCCTAAAATTTAAATCTTCTCCAATTAATTGCCTATTTTATTGATTGTGCCATCTTGAAATTTCATTTGTATCAATGTATTCAAAAATTTTGTGTTGTTAACATATATGTGCCCACATTCAGTAAATTTTTTAGATCCGTAACTATTTGCAAACACAGTTGTTCGAACTTAAAACCTTTAAAAGAGAACCATATTCCTTGTTATCTTTAAGACGATCTTATGTGTTCATAGTTTTTTATAATTGAAATATATAGTAAAGATGTTCTATAGTCAAACAACTATTTGCATTTTTTACCCATGAATTTTATATATTTGCAGAGCGTTTAAAACACGCTCCCCCCAAAAGGAGGTGTGGAATAGAAATGAAATTTATATGCACAAATAAAGGAAAGCAGTGGGGAAGGTAAACAGACCGGACCGGGAAATAAAAGGTTTTATTCGGTCAGTGCACTTTCGATTATTGCACACTACCAAAACACCCATACGAAGCAACTTTATTTATTGTTTAATTTAAATATTCCTTAATCCTTAACTAATTACACTTATCTTATATCTCACCCTAATTAATACATTATTTTACTTGACCACTTACACCCCTTTTTATTATAAATAAAATCTTTGTTTTATGCCATCAAACATTTACTTACGACTTTTCATTAATTAATATAATCTGATTTTCACTTTATTGAATTATATTAATAAAAATATTTTTTTAAATGAGATTAATATTTTTTTTGCGTTTAGTTTATTTAGTTTTTATTTATTTATAAATGACAATTTGTTTTGACAAATCTTAATCCTAGCAAGAGGGATCGAGAAGAATGACTTTAAGGAAGGAAAAAATGTTTTAGTAGATCTAGAATCCATGACCTAAAGAAATATGAGAAACAAATATGAGCAACTTAACCGTTCGACAAAATGTGATTGTTTTAAAAGTGACAACTAAATGTATGGAAACAATTTTTTATTTTATTTATGGGTTGTTATTTTGGTAAATTATATCCTAAAACTTTTGCAATATTTTTTTTTGATAGATATGAGATGAATATAAGGTAGTATTTTAAATTATGTTAAAAATCTTTTTAAAAGTATTTTATTTTTTTAAAAATAGATACTTTATATGGTTTGAGCTCTATTTATTGAATTTTGACAATATATCAATGGAGTTAAAAGAAAACTTTACAAAAATCCATCAAGTGGCTTCAGTAGTTAAAAGGAGTAATACTCTTCTTAGAGGTCTTGAGTTGGAGCAGCTGTGTCTCTATAGTGAGTGTGCATTGTTAATGATTATTATTTTTAAACATATACCACTTTATAATCATCTTATACTACTTTTTTTAAAAAAAATTCTACTAACATTGTTGAATAAATGACATGTGACTTAAAAAGTGTAGTAAACAATAAAATATTCCATTCGTTTATTCCATTAAAAACTTAGCAATGTATTAAATAATAAAGTTTAAAAAATATTAACAATGTATTAAATTTTAAATTTTAAATTTTAAAAAATATTTAATTCTTTTATTCCGTTAAAAACTTTAAAATTTTAAATTTTAAAATCGTACGAGTCAAACGATTTATGTGATAAAAGAATTAATGTTATTTCTTGATGTCTCTAGACTAAGCACTATGAATATTTGAGGTATAAGCGTTCAATGTTAAATGTTTAAGAGTTATTATTGAATAGATATTGCCTTATACTTACTCATATCAATAAAAAAAATATTTTAAATTTAAACTTTTATTTTCAACATTTATAATCAAATCACAACAATTTTCTCAAGAAAGAGAAGCTTATAGGTTAAGAACATCATCTTCTCCAAACCCTAAAAAGCAATAAAACAAAAGGGAGTGAAGAAGTTAATTAGTATACAAATTAAATATACTTTTATATATATACACACATATAAAGGACCTTCCTTTAATTTCTCTCCTTCATTTCCACCCACATCTCTCTAACACTAATAATCTCTTGCTTTCTTTTATGTGATTCTCTCCATTATTACCCTGTATCTTTACAAAAAGGAAAGGAAACTTCACGAAACTATGGATTTTACCTCCATATCAGCTTATCTTGATCCAGCCAACTGGCAACAAGTAAGGGTTTTTTTCTTCTTCTTTTGTTTTGTTTTTGTTCGAATTTGTTCCAAGTACTTTTGTTATATTCCTATTACTTTTGTTATATCTTAGTTGAATATACTATGAATTGTTATTTCCTTTCATTGTTGTTGTTTGTTTCTTTGTATTTCCACAGAATCCAAATCATCAAGGTGGTGATGGTACTAATGGTGCCAGCGCTCACCAGCTTCCTCCTCCTCCACCACCAGCTCCACAATCTCACGGAGGTGGAGAAGCAGGCTTGATCCGGCCCGATTCGATGTCCGATCGAGCTCGATTGACCAACATACCGATGCCGCAAGCAGCATTAAAATGCCCAAGATGTGAATCCACAAACACCAAGTTTTGTTACTTCAACAACTATAGTCTCAAGCAGCCTCGACACTTTTGCAAGACTTGTAGAAGGTACTGGACCAGAGGGGGTGCTTTGAGAAATGTTCCGGTCGGAGGCGGATATCGTAGGAACAAAAGAAGCAAAGGAAGCGGCTCGAAATCCTCGGCAAGCGGTGACCGGCAAACAGCGTCGGGTTCTTCGAGTACGATTTCTTCCAACAGTACGGGAAACATCGATATTTTAGGCCTCGGACCTCAAGTTCGTCCATCGAGGTTAATGACTCCTTTGCATCATCTTACTGAATTTGGCGGCAGTGATCATATTGGGTTGAATTATGGGACTATGTCCGCTCCACTCGGTGGAATGAGTGACTTAAGCTTTGATATGGGAAGTGCTTTAGCCATCGGCGGAGGCGGGGGCGGTGCTACTCCCGGTAGTTCTCTCTTGGCAATGGCCGGTTTGGATCAATGGCGGCTGCAACAACCGCCGCAATTTCCTTTCTTAAGTGGCTTGGAATCTTCTTCCGCGATGTACCATTACGAAAGTGGATCCGGTGTCGAGTCATCGGGCTATGGAGGTGAAGCTGTTGGCCATCATCTTCATCATGTTAGGCCAAAGATATCGAGCTCAATATCAACCCAAACGGCTTCAGTGAAAATGGAGGACAACAGTAATAATAACAATAATCAGCAAGAACTCATCAATTTGTCAAGGCAATTTTTGGGGCTTCAAGGATATGATAATTACTGGGGTGGAACTGCATAGCTTCAGCTCTTCATATACATCCACCATGAACACCATTTTACTTACTGTCCAACTCCAAATGCCATTAATATGATCAAACCCTAGATTTGGCAGGGTTTTCTTTCACTAGAATTGGTAGATTTTCATTGTATGAGTTCGTTTTTCATAGTGAGTGTATCAGACATTATACGCGCTGATGATAAAGTTGTGAGCAAAATATGTGTTTTTAGCTTTATAAAATCACATTTTGGATCATTAATCATTTGAAATCAACAATTTAAGAAAATCAAAATCTGGGTGGACTTGTTTTACCTTTTAAAATTTTGGATTTATTCTCAAGTTAAAGGAATATTGTTTTTATTATATAGTGTAACTTTATTTAAATGTACCAACATCCAAAGTGTTATTTCGTCTTCTTCGCAGTGAATTCAAAGCTCTTTTAGTTGATTTGGATATCATTTTACGATTCTTTTTTTCACTTATTTTATCAGAGAAGAAGGTTATTGTCTGATTATTTCCATATATGACCACATCCTTCTACTTCATATCAATATTTCCCCAAAAGTAGAATCTCTTTATATAAGAATGAAAAAGAAATTGTCCTTCAATGATTACTTTATCCATGATTTTTAGTTTACAATGTATTTGATGTTATGCAATCTTCTGGGTTTTTTTCCTTCTAGATTTTTAGTTTTACATATACGTAAAATCGTTAGATGAATGAAAATAGAAAACTGAGATTAATTCCTTTCTTTTAGTGAATATATTATAATTTCTCACCATTAGTCTAAGTTATTTCTACTTATCCAACAATCCTAATTTAATATAAAAATAAAAAGATTTACACTGTATAATTAGATATTATCACATATACATTGACAATGATGATATCTAGAAGAGAAATATATTACTATGAATTAGATTCTATTGTAATTTTATAATAATTTGAGAAGATAAATAATGACGGACCCATTCTTAATCTAAGGTAAGTATATACTCATATTAAAATTCAAATTTTTGAATCCACCAAGGAAGATACTTATTTGTTGAGCCATTATGATTATAGAAAAGAGAGTGAAATGAAATCATAGGTGAGAGAATCAAGATTTGAAGTTAATTATTAGTGAATAATTCTTTAAATGAGTGCAAAGAGAATAGTCTCAAAAGACTCCAAAATCTCACTCAAATCTATATAACCAAAAGATCAACATAGTAGGAGACTAGGAGTGGCTTCCGGACAAGAGAATGGAATGTCTGACCCAATTCCTAAGACAGAGGCGCGTGAGACAAAGTAGTGGTTTTGTCAGCATGTGGACCTCACTGCTTTGTCTTGGTGTCCGTGATTGGATCTCTTACACAGCACGCGCTTCATGCCTATTTCCCTTCAAACAAAATCTATTACTCTTATTTCCCACTCTTCCCATTTGTTCATTTTACTGACACAACAAACAAACACCCTAAACGCATGTAGATATAGACCAAAGCATCATCTTAGGTTAACTTTGACGAGGATGGATTTATAAAATTTTAAAAGAAATGAAAATAAAATTTTAATAAAAATAAAATATATAAAAAATTTAAATTTTTAAGGAGATAAATGCTGCCATCCACTGTTTCGGTCCATCCATACATGGAGGACTTGGCTTGACCTTGACTTCCCATATCACCAAATACGGCTGGATCCTTAGCTTCAACCTCAAGAATCGAATGTTTATTTCACCGGTTTTATGAACATGTTGATCACCACTTTGTTAAAAGTGATATATCTAGAAAGAAACAAAATTACAGTATTTCAATAGTTTTGAGCTAGCAAGAATGCAAACTTGTGTGGTAAAAAGTTTAAAAATTTTAAGATTTTTTATTTTTAAAATTTTAATATAATGTTATTTTAAATATATTTTTAATTTTTTATTACTTTCAATGATTTTTTATTTTTTTTAAATATTTATTTAATATTTGTTTATTGTTTGAATATAATTAATAATTATGTTTTAGTTTTTTTTAAAGAGTTAAATAAAACCTCATATTTAAAAAATCATTAAAGTCCTCAACTTTTTTAAGGTAATCAAATCTTTCTACCACATCACCATTCATACATTAACTGCCACATTACTAAGATTAACAATCCTGCCAGCATAACGATGGTCAATAATAAAAATTGTTAGTCAAATGACTAAAGTTACAAAATTTACTAGTTTAATGACTTTATTAAATACAAAAAAATATATATATATATATATATATATAATTTTTAAAATCAATAACTACTTATACCCTTTAGGATTTTTTTTATGTAAACTCATACATCCACGACCTTAAGTTGCGAGGTGACCTCTTGTTCACCACTAGGCCAACGAACAAGTTTTAAAATTATAAAAGTATAATTTATATATCGATGGTGTATAAAATTATAAACTGATAAATACTTCATATCTATTTTTGATTGACCTAAAAGATTCACGTCAGATTCCATCACAGAAATAGGTAAATATGCTAACGACAAAAAAGTTTATATGTAAAATAAAAAAAATGAAAATAGTATTATATTATTAAAGAATTTGATATAATTCATGCATAAAGTAGTATTTAATCTAAATGAAAATAGTATTATATTATTAAAGAATTTGATATAATTCATGCATAAAGTAGTATTTAATCTAACTAAAAATCATATATAAATTTGATATTTATCTCTTTAAATAATGCTTCGGCTACAGAATATATATGTATACATATTTGGCAATTATTGTAGAAACAATTCTTAAAAGATTAAATCTTTATATAAAAGTTTAATTAACATAATATGAATCAAATGATTTCAATAATTAAAATATTATTATTATTTATTGAAATTTCATATTCGGACACCGTGTGTATAGAGACAAATATTCAATATAATATGATTGATAACAACATACATTTATTTATTTTACATATAAGGAAAGTAGATAGCAACCCTAACCCAACATAGCAAAGCCTGAATAAACATAGGTCTTTTAGGTGGGGTCGATCGAGAGAACCGGCAAAACATGACAGGATAACACAGAGAAAGAAGTGAGTGACTCAGTGGGGGCGCTTTGGGAATCTAAAACTTCATGGGGGCGTAGGGCGTGGCTTTAGCGGCGCAAACTGCGCAACCGCGCAGGGTTAAAAAATTTTATATATAATGACGTTTTTTCAATAAATACCATTATAGATAGATCTATTGCGACGTTTTTTTAATAAAACGCTACTATTATTGCGCAGCCCAAAAAAATCCCAAAAAATATATATATAGTGGCGTTTTCCAAATAAATATCACTATAGATGGACCTATTGCGATCTTTTTTTAAAAAACGCCATTATTATTATCCCGAAATCGAATACATCTAAAAAATAGGACCCCTTTATAAGAATTTGTACAGGGCCCTGAAAACCTAGCCACGGCCCTGATGGGGCGTTTCATGCATGCATGCATGTGTATGATTGAGATCACATGTGGGAGAACGTGATGGACTCATCATGTTGGAATCTGTAATAGTTTTCAACAACAGTTGATGGATCTGATCAAATCAAATCGCCTCCTTAGGGCATTACATGCATGACTGGAAGGAAGTCGACAGGACAATTGTTCTTTTTTGAAAATCTAAAATTATTATATATTTTAAAATTTTGTAAGTTTATTTTATATAATTTTAAAAACAATACGCTGCAAAAGTGAAAGCTACACAGAGTCCCATGCGCCCCCATCGAACATGGGAAGGAAATTTCATTCAATACACAGTTCTAGTTTTGATTTTGTCCCTTAGATTTCCAAGCAAATTATGTATTATACTTCCTTCTGTACGGTATTTTCTTTTCTTTTTTCATGCTTTCATCAGTTCTTCCCCAACGTTAATTTCAATATCGACAATTTTGGGATCATTCTAAAAACAATTTATATAACCCTTTGATTACTAAGGATGACCTGTGACCGACCGACCAACCAAACTATAACATAGTTATCTGTCTTGACTGAGAGAGAGAGAGAAAAGGGTTTTCCTTTGACGGTCTTGAATGTGCTTTATTCGTTTTTGGTTCTTGCAAAAGCAAACCCTCAAACACATTCTCTCATATCCCTTTCTTTTTTCATGTACACAATCCCCCCATTTATAATTATTATATTTTATTTTTTATGTATTTCGTATTGAAATTATATTTTCATCCCTGAAATTTTATAAGTTTGTATCTTCTTAAAATTTTAGATATTCACCCCTAACATAAAATTTCGAGTACATCCCTACATATCCCAATTCCAGACTCACACACACTACTTTAGAGATCATTTACATAATTACTATTATATATAATTTGAAGTCAATAACATCTGTAACCATAATACTACCATAGTAGCCATGACAGATAATGTAACCGTAATTTAATATTATAAGATTGGTGTTCGTGATTTAAGTGCATTGGACCAGCAGCTATGATTTGTAATCATGAATTTAGTTCAAGTTTCTAGTTTTATTTTGTTGAATGCACCTTTTATGTTGATTACTTAATTGTACATTTTAGACCCATATTGCTGAATGTTTTGTTCAGCTTTCTGCTAACACCAACCCCAAGTTTACCGGAAATTTAAAAAGTTTAAACTGGGATTGCTAGAATCCACATCATTACTTTAATCATTCAAAATCGTGAAATAAGTGCATACCACTTTTAAATACACGTTGAGATCAGTGATCAGTGATGGATCGAGGGAGTGAGTGGGAATAATCGTCTCTCTGAAAATTTAAAATGATCATATATTTTAGATTTTTCTATGTATTTCATATTGAAAATCTGTTTACTGCTCCCCTATAATTTTATAAATTTGTATCCTCCTAAAATTTTAGAAATTCGTTCCCTAACATAAAATCTTACATTCGTCCATGGTTGAGATAATGGTTCAACCTTTCAAATATAATGAATAGACGTCTAATATTTTCGAATATAACCAAATAAGGACTAACTTTTTTAATCTACTCAAAATGAGAGCATATATTTAAAAATATTTTCAAAGAAATTATGCCTTTATCTGAATAAATCCTCAAACATTAAACTCTTATTTGACTATTTTAAGAAGTTGAATCATTATTTGAATAAATATGAAAGTGTGAGTCTCTTATTTAATTATTTTTGAAAGATTATATTCCTATTTAAGCATTTAACCTT